AGTTTCTTTTTTTACTATCAGACAGCTGTTTGTGGTTAAAAGGATCAATTATTTTATTATTTATAACAAAAAGTAATCTTACAAAAGATCTTAAAAGAACCATAAATCTAAACACACACACACACACACACACACACACACACACACACACATATTTATATATATAAAACAATCAGTCATTTATACTTTAAGTCCTCAGAGTACATACCTACTAATCAACAATTTTTTTTAATTAAATCATATCAGGAAGCCAAGAGCAAAACTGGGTACAAGAAATGAATCATGGCCTTTGGTCACCAACCCATCTTTAGCATGTACGTCAGCTACTAACAGCCAGGCTGCCATTGATCTCGTTCCCTGACCTCAATGAGTTCCTTGCTCAACTATTAAAAGTGCCATGGTCTTGCTGAAGCCCAGGTTCGGGTCCTGAGATGGAGAAGAGGCATCAGAGGGAAGAAATGAACTGTCAACCACCAGATGAATTTCACACAAATTGACAGCCATGAATAGCTTGAGCCATCTTTATTTATACTTCAAAAACAAGCACGTTTTTCCATATTAACAAACATGTTTTTTTCCCCATCCTTTAACTTTAACCTCTGGAAAAACAAATACATCTAATATATTTTTCCCAACTTTTACACCAAAACATCTTTAAACCAAAACAACACATCATTTCGCTAGCTTGGACAAATATCGGGCCAGGTACATCCTCTCTTTACAAAACTAAAAGGTGATAACATAGGCACACAGTTTTAAGAACAACAATATTCTTCAAAACTTAACAAAACATATTAACAGAAATAGGGGGGACCTGCCTCCAATCCTATCAGCAGTGAATCAGAACAGCTCTCAGGGTCTGAAGTGACAGCTGGTTTCTCCAGACAAGAAATCTGAGAAGCATCAGCTCCTAAAGTATTTTAGAGGAAAATATTTGAGAAAAAAATAGGGTTTCTGGCAATGATCACATCTGTCTGATGCATGACTAACAATGTGACACTAAAAATCGCCAAGGGAATCATCAATATTATGAGAGAAAAGAGAGTATGCAGGCCACATGGTCCCAGCAGTATTCTGCACTGTCCCGAAGTCACTGGTCCTTGCCAAGTAAGACTGTCCCCGTGGTCTTTTGTCTCATCTGCAGATCTTTTGGACAAGTACTCGGGACTTGTCTGAAACTAGGCCACACAGCTCCCAACATAAAAGTGTGCCTTTCTAAACTTGAAATTGTTCCTCAAAATTTTCTACATCAAAGCCATTAACAAAAAGATCTTAACCTAACTTTACTAATAATCTACATGTCTAAATTCTTTCTAAGGGTGGTGGTTGAATCATTCATCTGCTCCAGCAGCAATGCTTGAAAAAGTCAGTCACTATTATTGTAAGCACCAGTAACACTGCCCCCTGAGAGTTTTCATACAACTCATAGATTATGAGGGATGTGGTGACCTGGAGGGCAATAAGCAGAGCTATGCTCATTAACAGTACCTTCTTCTCATCAGCTCAAGGAACTTTCTCCAAAATTGACCACATATTTGGACACAAAGCAAGTCTCAACAGATACTAGAAAACTGAAATAACACTGTGCATCCTATCTGACAGCCATGGATCAAAGCTGGATATCAATAACAAAAATTAAAGAAAGTTCACAAACTCATGGAAACTGAACAAATTAGTAATGAATAAAAAGTGGGTCAAGAAAGAAATTAAAGGCTTCCTAGAATTGAATGAAAATAAATACACAGCACACCCAAACAGATGGGACACAATGAGGCCTACATTAAAAAAAAAATGGAGAGATCTGATACAAATAAATCTCACACAAATAAAATATCACCACATGAAGGGATCTTGCGAAGGTCATCCTGAGTCAAAGTATCCACGTATCATGTTACGATTTGGTTAGTAGTTGCCTAGGGCTGGGGTGTGGGAAAGATTTGGAAAGAAGGAATATTATATTAGTTACTTTTCATTGCTGTGGCCAAACACTTGACATAAACAGTTTAAGAAAAGATTTAATTTGACTCACTTTCAGAGGGTTCAGTTCATGATGTCTTGGACCTGTGCACTAGGACCAAATGACATGTTGGTGGGAACATGTGGTGGAGGAGGAGCTTCCGCTCAGTGTGGATGCAAATCAAAGAAAGACATGAAGAGGGCTAGGGGGCAGGGTATCCTCAAGGATCTTCTACCTCTTCCAGTTGGATCCCTTCATCTAAAGGTTCCAGAATCTCTGAAACATGTCAGGTAGCCACCTACAGATCTTACCTTCTGCCTGGATGTGCTGTAATCTCCAATCTCTCTTGCTCTACCTCTCAGCTGCACAAGCCAAAACTCAATCTCACCTGATTCATTTCTCTTTCACTCCACATTCGATGTGAGTAAAAATGTATCATCGTATCAGGAAATTCTGTTGGCTCTACTTGTAAAATCTACCCAGAATTTGGTCTCTTCCTGTGGCCTCCCTTGTTTCTCTGGTATAAGTCCCTATCATCTCTTACACGGAGTCAGACAGAATTTCCCATGTGCTTCCTGCTGCTAACCCTGGTGTTTTGGGGACTACTTTTGACATAGAATTATCCTTTCAAATCTAAAGTGATCCTTGTTTCTTTTCTGTTCAAAACCCTGTGCTGGTCCATTTAACTTACAGTAAGAGCCCTATATAGTACATACAAAACCTCACAGGTTCACCTGATTCACAAATTCCTCATCCTCCCTGGTCTCAGGACCCACCAACAGAAGCCTTTTTGATGTTCCTGGCTTGAGAATGGTGCTTATCCATCCTCACACACTGGAATCCTCCCCAGGACACTCTCGCCGTTTATACTTTTGATCAAACTTCCTCTTCCCCACGGAGGGGAAGGCTGTGCTTGGTGCCACAGCCTTCAAGCCTCCATTTAGATGGTTACCTTCTTCATCTAGGTCACCTTATAATTCACAACACACAGATGTCTGCTATTAGGTTTATTTGCATGCCCTCCATTAGAATTAACTCTACAGAGGTGGGGAATCTTTGCGTCACTCACTGACAGTTTCCCAATGGGTAGAAAACGGAGGACCTGGTAAGATTAGGCATGGCTCAACACAGCAAGTCAAAATGTGCCTGAGCAACAACTGAAACCCCAGACAAATTCTACATTTTTCTCATACAGTTTTTCTACCCAATGGCCAGAAACTAGTGAATCCGGCAAGAATTCCAGGCTGCACACTGACTCCTGCCTCTGGCAGCATCTTTCAGCTGTGAGGATCTACCCTTCCCTTTCCTTTCCTTCTCAGTTCTAAGAGGTTTTCATTTTCCATTTCCCACTAAAGAAAGTAGCTATTCACTTTGGCCTTTTAGGAAGGCCATAATTGAAGCCAAAACAGCCCCCTCCCCCAGTCTGCCTTATCGCCTTGTCTCCACCATTAAAGATCACCCCCTTGGGCAAAATCTCTGGGTGGTTTAGCCTACTGTTTCTTATATTTTTGGTTGTGAGCCTAGCCTTTAACGGCTGAGCTATCCCTCCAGCCCAGCCTACTGTTTCTAAGACATGGGGGTGGGGAGAGGCAGAGACAGAAGAGACAGAGGAAGGGGGGGGGAGGGAGGGAGGGAGAGGGAGGAAAAAGGGAGAGGGAGAGGGAGAGGGGGA